TCACTTGGCTAGGTGGGCGCAGATACTATCATTTCCACCTTGATGGGATGTCATTGGTAAAAGGCCTTCACCAGTGTAGATATGTAAATCTTTCCTTGTTCCCATGTTCTCTCCTCACACCTGCAACTCTCCTACTTTACCAGGTACTAGGGGTAGTCCTATTGTCTCAACAAATTCAGGATCTACATATTGGCTACATATTCTTCTTGTCTGTCCCAATTAATGGGAAGGAATTAATTGGATATAGCTCAGAAATGATATAGTTCAGAACTTATAACAACAATGCAGAGAGTGTTTAATGAGGGGGATAGACCTGTGTGATTGGCAAAGGCCTCATTTGCCTGTTCCCATCATTTTCTGAAGGTCTATAATTGTGCTCGGGTTTGGGACAGTTGGCCAAATCTGAGTTCCCAATAGGAGTGATGTCAATGAGCTCCCCATTTATTTGTGAGTAGCTTTGCCTTTTCCCAGGATAGAGACATTGCAAGTTAGTTTAGGCAGCCTCCAACTTCCTCAAGAGGTCACTTATATTAGGAAGTGAGTAGAGGAAAGAACTGGAGACAGAAACAACCATCTGTGTAAGAGGGTAAGTTTTGAGGAGATAAGTGGATTGTGTTATTTTAACAGTTAATTCTATGGAGTAGATTGACTCTGGTGCATTGACGGATGATAGGAGATGTAATATGTGAGATATCCAGGATACCAGTTCCTATGCAGTATATGTTGGGCTGAGCATAAAACATGATGGAGATTGTATCTTTACCTAGAAAGCTGTGAACAGACATCAGACGTTAGAGTGAAGACACACGCCCCACCCCAATTTAAGTGTTTCTGAATACTTCTGGAGAAAAATAACCATATCAATTGTATTTACTAAAAATTCATCATTTAATATCAACCAGGCCCACATTACTACTCAACAATTGTTTTAGAAGATTGCTGGTTCTTTAAGTTGTTATGGCTTCTCCCCCTCTCACCCCCCAATTATTTTGTATTTATTTTCTGCGTATTTTCTGTTATTCCATGTATAATGTCCCTACCCCCTCCTCCAGTAGAATATAAGCTCTTTGAGGGCAGGACCTGTTTTATTTTTGTCTTTGTATCCCCAGAGTCTTGCATGGTGCCTGGTATGTAGTAGGCTCTTAATAAGTGCTTTGCTTAATTTAATTGAGCAAATTATCTCCTGAATATCAATTATATTCCCTTTGGTAGCTGTTCCAAATCTTTTTTCTCTCCTTAACACTCCTTTGTCACCTTCTAACATCTCCCTCTCAAACAAGTATCTCATATCCTACTTTACTGAGAAAATTAAGGCCGTCTGATACAAACTTCACTTTCCCCCTACTCAATGGATCCAAATCCTTCTACATTAATTCCTTGAACCACCTTCTAGCCTCCAGGTTCTAAGGAAGAAGTGGCTCTTCTCCTTGCCAAGCCTCTCACCTAGACTTGTATCCTTGATCCTATCTTCTCCAGCTGCTTTATCACCAATCTCTTTATCACCAAATCTCTTTGAAAAGGCATTCTAGGCTGCCTGGACCCCTTACCACCAACTCACTCTCCACTAGTTGCAAATTATCTTCTAACCCACACTTATATGAAACTGTGCTCTCCTAAATTGCCAGTGATCTCTTACTCGCTAAATCTAATGAGCTTTTCTCAACCCTCATCCGGCTTGAATTCTCAGCACCTTTTAACACTATTGATTATGCCTTTCTTTCCTTCCTCAATTTTTTAGCACTTCTGTCTCCTGTTTCTTCTCCTCACTGATTACCTCTGCCCAGGCTCCTTTGCTGGATCGGGATCCATCTTCCATCTCCCTCCCTGTAAGTGTGGACATCTCCAAGGCTCTGTCCTGGGTCCTCTTGCTTCTTTTCTCTTGTAGTATCCTCTCTTGTGATGATTTCATCAGCCTACATGGGTTCAATTATCCACCTCTATGGAGATCATCTCAAATCTATGGATTAGTTCTTAATTCCTCCTGAGCTCTTAGGTTCATAAACATACTTCAAAGTTTGGTTTAGTGGCAGGTTTTGCCGCTCCCTAATAGGAAGCATTTTTTGATTCTCCTAGTTTTTGATGCTCCCTCCTTAATTTTTTTAAAATCTGTATTCCTTTTGCATTCCCCCAATTGAATGTAAACTCTTTGAGGCTACGGGCATGTTTTGTATTTGTCCTTCCATCCACAGCACCTAATATAGCAACATTAGCCCATAATACATGCTTGATAAATGTTTGTTGAATTGAATTGAATTGAATTGAATTGGTAGTCTTTTCTTCCAAGGTTACTTTGTGCAAGAATGTATGGAGAAGGGCATTTTGGCTTGTAAAAGGAGAGTCCTCACTACAGCACTGGATACACTAGTCTCTATGATAAGAATTGTTTATGAAAGTATGAATAATTAAAGTAAAATATTACTTGAGTTCTTTGAATGCTCACTCTTCTATGAGGCACATTGTCAGAGTGAAAACACGTGGAAATGAAGAGGTACCAAGGTCCTCCAGAGCTGATGTCATGGTCCCCTGCTGTCATACAGCCTTCTGTTTGGGTCCCAGGCATATCAGCTCTTAAAGCAGCACGTTGGCTCAGATTGGGCCTTTTATGTAGGGAAAGTGTCCTTGTTCCGCTTCCTGTTCGTGTTCCTGTTTGATGCTGTGTAGCCATGAGCTGCAGGTGGCCAAGACAAGGCTTTTCCTAGAATAATAATGTTTAGCTGTTGGAGGCTGCTGAAAGCTAATTTGAAGCAGGTGTTAAAATTATTGAGCATCTGACCTTGTATACCAAGGGGAAAAGGGAGAAAACACATCCATGTTGCCTTACCTAACCTTGTGGTGTTTAGGAAAATGCCCTCTGACCAAGGGAGTTATCATACAGGGACTCAGCCATATTTAGAGGAGAACCTCCTAGACACAGGGAAATAGGAAAGGAATAACTGGACAAGTCTCTGGAGGCGTGAAGAACAGCCTAGTGTTCTTGGCTACCCTGTATTGCCTCCACATTACTGATCGAAATCTAAAAACTGGTTAAATAGCAGTAGTATAGTGGACAGAATACTGGACTGTGCTCTTCCACTTCCATGCTTTTGCTTATTCTATTTCCCATACTTGAATGCCCTCCCTCCCCATCTTGCTTACTGAGTTCTTAAATACCCTTTAAATCTCAACTCAAAGCCTTTTCTCAAGAGGTTCTTCTTGACATCTCTGTAACCTTTGACTCTGTTGAATATCTTCTTCTCCTTTTCCTGACACTGCTTTCTCCTAGTTTTACTTCTACTTATCTGACTGTTCCTTCTCAGTTGCCTTTGCTGGATCTCCATCCAGGTAATAGCCCCTAAACGTGGGCATTCAATGGGACTTTGTCTTGGCCCCATGTCTGAACTAATTTACTCCCATTTTCAATGTTCATCTCTCCACACATGACTCTCAGATCGAATTGTCCATCTCCAGTCTCTCTCCCTACCTCCAGTTTTGCATCTTCAACTCCTCTAGACATCTTGAACTGGATGTGTGTATACATCTTAAACTCAACATGCCCGAAATGGAACTGATTATCTTTCCCCCCAAAACCTTCCCCTACTCCTAATTTCCCTATTACTGTCGAGGGTATCACCATTCTTTCAATTACTCAGGCTTACAACCTCATGTCATCCTCAACATCTCACTCTCACCCCACCATATCCAATCACATGTTGAGTCCTATATAATATCTCATATATTCTTGCTTCTGTCCTTTGACACTGCAGCTACTCTCGGGAAAGCCCTCATCACGTTATGCTTGGACTACTGGAATAGTCAGCTGGTTGGTCTCCAGGCTTCAAGTCTTTCCCCACTCCAGTCCAGTGTCTACTTAGCTATCAAATTGATCTTCCTAAAATTCACTTTTGACCATGTAACCCATCTCCTTCCATTCAGTTAATTCAAGTGGCTCCTTATTCCTGCTAAGATCAAATATAAAATCTGTTTGGTTTCAAAAGCCCTTCATAACCTGGCCCCTTCTTACTTTTCCATTTTTCTTAAGCTTTACTTACTGACATGTTCTCTGGCTTTCTTGTCACTGGCTTCCTTGCTGTTTCATGAGCAAGACATACAGTTTCTAGGCTCTGGGCATTTTTTTTCTGGCTACCCACTATGCTTGGAATACTTTCCTTCCTCACCTGTACCTACTTGCTTCTTTTAAGTCCCAACTAAAATCCCATCTTCTACAGGAAGCCTTTCCCAACCCATCTTAATTCTAGTCCTTTCCCTGTCTTAATTATTTCCTATTTAACCTGCATATGGTTACTTGCTTATCGTCTCTCCCAGGTTTGTTTTCTGAAAATTTTATGGGCATGACATTTATGTCTTTATCCAAGTCACTGACAAAAATGTTAAATATCCCAGGGCTAAGAATGGAACCCTGGGTATTCCACTGTAGATCTCCTGCCCTACTGAGATTAAACCATTAACATTCACTATTAGAGCTATAGCTAAAAGCTAGATGTCCACTGAGTTTCCTTCCAACTCATGGAGTCTGTAATCCTATATGATGATGGAGACCAGCACGTTGTCTGTAAATGCTATCATGCAAAAATAAAATGGTAGTGCAAATGTATTTTAATGCCAATTTGAGCTAAAAACCTTTTTAGAAAGTACAACTTGTGGCAAAGAAGATTTAGGAGGTAAGAGAGATGCAAATGTGTAACCTGACATTAATAAGTATCAAATAACAGGGAGTTTTGCATCAGCTTCCTAGCTAAGAGAATTCTGCACTCTTTGAAGGCTGACTCAAAGGTTTGTTTTGTAGCATTTAGTGAGAATTTAGGTGTGTACCGTCTAGAATTGATTTATGGCTTGATTTAGGACTTTTAAAATTCTGCCATTCCTTAAGAATCATAAATATTTTGTCTTTCATGTTACTATTTCCAGAAGGAATTTTAAGAGAATTCTTTGATTAACTATTCTATCATTTCCTTGTGATTTTTCTTTGCTTTTGTATGTATACAGGGATGAATGGGTGAAGACAATCAGAAGGTAGAGAGAAATAGGAATGGAGTCGGAAAAGTCTTTGGAACATTCAGGTAAAGTACCTTCCTAGTGGACATTTGATACTTTATATCACTGAAATGTAGAGTGATGATTTAAAAAATAATAATACTTTGTGTACCTTGTTATGAAGATGTCAAGTGACGATAGCTCTTTTTTCTTTTCTTTTCTTTTTTTTTTTAGCTCTTTCTTACAAGTCCAAAACCAGACTGTGCAGGATGGGCTGGGTGATTTGTGATCAGAGGAAGGTGCTGGCTCTGTCTTATGTACCCACATGAAGGTGTGTACATGAGAACTGTCATAGGAAGATGGCCTCCAAGCTTCAGGCTGTTGACTTCACTAAGAGGTATAGCCACATCAAGGGTATTGTAAAGGACATAATCCACAATTCAGGCTAAGTGGCTCTTTGGCTTCTTGGCCCCTAAAGTTGGCTTTCCAGGATCCTTACCAATTTTTTTTTTGGCTAGGCAATGGGGTTAAGTGACTTGCCCAGGGTTACACAGCTAGTAGGCGTTATGTGTCTGAGGTCGGATTTGAACTCAGGTCCTCCTGAATCCAGGGCTGGTGCTCTATCCACTGCACCACCTAGCTGCCCCTGATCCTTACCAATTTTTAAAAGAGGACACAGCTATTCATTAATGCTGAAAGTATGATCCTAAAGCCAAGAAAACATTAGTGAAGATACTTTTAGGTCTAAGAAAGTTATATGCTCTGCAAACAGAACTGCAGTTGGTATGGCTGCTGAAGACATAAGGCTAAGATGGGGGTGAGGAAACTATGTCCTTAAGGCCACATGTGGCCTTCTAGGTCCTTAAGTGTGGCCTTTTGACTGAGTCCAAATTTTACAGAGCAAAGATTTTCTGTAACAAGGATTTGTTCTGCAAAATTTAGATTCAGTCAAAAGGCTGCACTTAAGGACCTAAAAGGCCATATGTGGCCTTAAGGCTGCAGGTTCCTCACCCCTGGGCTAAGGGGAACTTCTGGCCTTGTGTCTGGAGTGTGGTCATGAATTCTGAGGAACATCCCTTTGGAGGAGGTAATCATGAGCACATTGGAAAACCATCTACCATTCCAAGAGATAACCCAATTGGACAAAAAGGTTGGCCTCATCACTGCCTGGTGTACTAGTTGGCTCCAAGGTATCCAGATGATAAAGAAAAGAACTGAGGCCCAGAAACAGGACAAAAATTATTTTAGGAAAAGAAATAGATAAACAGAAAGACATTACTGGAGATCTCCAAGGCAAAGTGGATGTCCATTTGTTGGGAAGGATGTTTCAGAGAGAATTGGTGCTTCAGACAAAGCTGAACTAGAAAACCTCCAAGGCCCCTTTCAGCTTTTTCATTCAAGCCATTAACACATTTAGAAGAGAAAAAAAGCTTACATGCTTCTCCCCCACCTCCACCCCCACCCTACCCCCACCCCTCCATGGATTTAGGCTATGGCAAAACATAATTGATTTCTTTACCTCTAGTCTCTTTCCTCTCCAATCTATCCCCACCTCCCAAGAGCTGCCAGATTTATATTACTAAAACATAGATGTGACCTTATAATCCCTTCTCCCCCCTCAAAAATCTTGTAATGAGTCCCTGTTGCTTCTAGGATAAACTACAATATTCTCAGCCTATTATTTGGAGTTTTCTGCATTCTAGCTGTCACCTACATTTCCAGGCTTATTTCACTTTGTTTCCCCTCACTCACTCTCTGCTCTTATCAAATAGCGGTCCAGTTGTTTCATCTCCTGATTCCTTGATTTTGCACAAATGATTCCTAATTTCTGGAATGCATTCCCTTATCTTTCTGCCTTATAGAATCAATAGCTTCTTTCAAAGTACAACTCAGGTGCTATCTCCCACACAAGACCTTTTCTATTATATTCCAGTTAGAAACTCTCTCTGTCTCTGTCCATCTCACACACACGTACACATATACAAGTAATTTGTATTTACTTGTATTCATGTTATATGTCTCTATTAGGCCACAAGTTCCTTGAGGATAGGGACATGTTTGCTTTTGTCTCTGTATCTCTAGTGCCTTGTATATAGTTGGCATTTAATAATAATAATAATAATAATAAATAATATGGAACATATAATATATAAATAATGAATGTATATTGGATTGAATTGAATCCACAGCATAAAACATTAAAAATACACCTCCATTTTGGGAGTATAATGGAAATGAGTAAAACTCTAAAAAATTTCCACTCTGAAAAACAAAATGTTTGTGATGAACAGGGCCACACAATAAATAATTAATATGGAAAATTTGAGAAGGAAGGGGGTGCATTTCCAGCAAGATAGTCCCTAGGCATGTCTGTAAAGAGGTCCTTGGTACATGTTTGCATATTTAGTCAATATGAGGGAGTCTAGATGTTTTGTTCCTTTTGAGTTTCCATCATTGCTCACTGCAATGGTTTGCAGAGAGGTTTGTTACTCTGTTCTTTTTTTTTTTTTATTTTAGCGACGCAATGGAGTTAAGTGACTTGCCCAAGGTCACACAGCTAATAAGTGTTACGCATCTGAGGTCACATTTGAAGTCAGGTCCTCCTGAATCCAAGGCCAGTGCTCTATCTACTGCGCCACCTAGCTGTCCCAAAGTTTGTCACTCTTGACCATTCTACCATCAGAAAACCTGGATATCGCCAGGAGTTTACTGATACCAGGCCTAAAAATAGTTGCATACTTAATTTTTTAAATATTTGTTCCGTTTTCTTCTTCCTAAGATGCTTTGACCAAATTTAATAGAAATTCAGTAGTTTATGGGTGACTCAGGACTCGTCTGCACTTTCAAGGTTTTCTGGTGGCCGTGAGAACAAAGCATCATTAGAGACAATGTGGAGTAATGTGTAGAGTGCTGGGATTAGAGTCATTTTCAAATTTCACCTCTGGTGGCTACTGGCTATACCACCATAGACAAGTCATTTAATTTCCTTGAGCTGCAGACCATTACCTATAACTATCATTTGTAGTCTACAAGATCACAGGTCCTACATGGATGAATAAACACAGGATCACACATTTTGATCAGCATCAATGCTGATCAGCTTTCTATTATGGAGTTGAGAAGTTTCTATCTGTAGTTTGAGAATAAAAGACTCTGATGGAAACAAGCTATGATTATCTCTGGGGCTGTACAAACTCCTTTTTGATTTTTTAAAGAAAGCTTATTTTTTTGAAGTTTTGCTGGTGTGTTTTAGTTTTACATTACAAACATTTACAGGTTACCCCTACTTCCTGAGAAGTCTCTTGTAACAAAGTAAAACAGTTTAGTAAAACTAATAATTCAGTGACCTCATTTGAAAATGCTTGCAATATTTTACATCTGGAATACTGCCCCACTTCTCTATTAAAAAAAAACCAGACATCTATTTCTCTCCCTCCTAACCCCACCTTATTGGAAAAAAGAGGGAAAACCAAATTTCTTAGGACAATATGCATAGTCAAGCAAAACAAATTAGAACCAATATTGTACTTAAGTTCACTAAAAGAAATAATTTGTTCCAGGCTTGAGGTTGTCTGTACTTCTCACTGCAAGCTACTTATTCTGCTTGTACCTAGGTGGCACGGTAGTACAGAGTCAGGAATATCTGAGTTCAAATTTGGCCTCAGACACTTATCAACTCTATGATCCTGGGCACGTCACTTAACCTCTGTTTTCCTCAGTTTCCTCAACTGTAAAATGGGTATAATAATAACACTTATCTTGCAGAGTTGTTGTAAGGATCAAATGAGATAATGTATTTATCCTTTTCCCTTTTTTGTCCAATTTATTCCTTTTTCAGGGCCATGTAGTTTGTGTTTAAACTTGACATTTCTCCTTTAAATCCTTTATCAGCCAGTTTTCATAGTTTTGTCTCAGAGTTTGTTTTCTCTTTCATTTGATCAGTTATTTATAGGCTTACCATTTCATTCTGATTCCATCTTTCAGACATGTCAAACTTTGGCTGTCAACAGTCAAATCATGTTGGGCATAGAGCTACATAACTGGATTGCGGTTTCTCCCTTGTGAATCATTCAACCACAGATATCTACCTATTACTATGCTATATATATCCAGACCTGAAATCTGCAGATGTCTTTCAGTATCTTTATTCTTATTTGTTTGTCTCTCTTCCTCAAAGATCTTGGGAAATCCCCAAAGCATTTTCTTAAGGAAAGGTGATTAATAGTGAACTATTAATGTGACACAGGAAAGGAAGTGAGTGTAGCCTTCTGAATAAATGTAGAGATTTGTAGAAAATCTAAACTGAGAGGTCCTATGGGGGATGGAAGAACCCCCATTAGGGACAATTAGCTGTATGGCTCTGCGTAAGAAAACATGCTCGCTACTGGTCTGAGTACAAATACATCAGAAAGGAGGTAAAAGCCAGCTACAGGAGCCCAGGCAATAAAGGTTGGGAACAATCATGCACCGCTTACCGAGGGGCCATCTACTGTCTTTTGGGTAGCAGTAGTGGCATGGATTGTAGTCATGAGTCCTTCCACAATGCCAAAGTTGTCATGAATGATCTTGGCCAAGGGGGCCAAGCAGTTGGTAGTACAGGAAGCATTACTGATAATCTTAAGGGAATTACCATATTTCTCTCTCTCTCTCTCTCTCTCTCTCTCTCTCTCTCTCTCTCTCTCTCTCTCTCTCTCTCTCTCTTCCTTTTGCTAGGCAGTGGGGTTAAGTGACTTGCCCAGGGTCACACAGCTAGTAAGTAGCAAGTGTCTGAGGCTGGATTTGAACTCAGGTCATCTTGACTCCAGAGCTGGTGCTCTATCCACTGCGCCACCTAGCTGCCCTTTTTTCTTTTCTTTTCTTTTCTTTTCCTTTCTTTTCTTTTCTTTTTTTAAAATCATATTTCTCATGGTTCACTCCTGTCACGAACATTGGGACAAAAGAGGCAGAGATGATGATCCTCTTGGCTCCACCCTTCAAGTGAGCCCCAGCCTTTCCCGTGGTGGTAAAGAGTCCAATGGGACTCTACAACATACTCAGCTCCAGCACCTCCCCATTTAATACTGGAGGGATCCCACTCCTGGAAGATGGTAATGGCTTTTCCATTGATCACCAGCTTTCCATTCTCAGCTTTGACAATGCCCTTGAATTTGCCATGGGTGGAATCATATAAACCATGTAGTTGAAGTCAATGAAGGGATCATTGATGGTCACAATGTCTACTCCACTTGAAATAAATGCAGCCCTGTCACCAGGTGCCTAATACGGCCAAATCCATTGCCTCCAACCTTCACCTTGTTTCACATTAAGTTAACATATCATAACTACAAGGTTTATTGACAATATTCAAACTGATTTGGTGGACATATTCATATAAAAAAGGTACAAGACATAGAGGTC